CTTTCTTTCTTTCTTTCTTAATCTAAACATAATCATAATCTAGTTAAATCTGTTTTACACTGTGATAACAAAATAATGTTTCTGTTTCTAGCAGTCTGACTTAATGTTGACCTAGTATGTGTGAAGCAGTGACACTCCCAGTGGGGTAACAGAGCTTGTTTTCTCAAGCTAACGAAATAATTAACTCATGATCTCGATGTAATGGCAATAAAAAATTACAAGCACAGCCGTTCTTGGCTTTCTTATGTTAGTACTTCCACTGTCCTAGCTCTCAATAACGTTAGTTTTCCTTTTTGTAAATGTAGGCCTTCTGAGCAGTATTGTGGTTTGTTGCAGCTGTTTTGTGCCACATTTGCCTTTTGTCATTTTTAGTCAAATTGTAGATGACATTACTCTATAAATTGATTTTCTTTTCATTGCCAGAAGGTTAGCTAACATTACTGGCAGTGATATCGGCAGTATTAAAATGTAGGGCCATCTGCACGAAACATCAGTGTAACTGTAGTTAGCCTCTATGAAGCCATGTGTAAAAAATATTCTGCCTATGTCCTTCCTGGATTTTCAATAAGGCTGCATACTGTTTCCACGTGATATTTTTGTATACTGTTCTTAAATGTTACTTGTCCATGTTTTGTGTTTTTATTAATTCTTCTCTAGATTTGGTTAATTGTGTGTTCAGAAAAGGGGTTGACTTTTTAAAAATACAGTTTTACAAACAGAGCTTAACCTTCAATCACAATCTTTACAGCAAACATGGTGATATTCCAGTACCCAGATCTCTTCTCTTATCAGATTTTCTCTTTCATTAAAAATGTCACTTCAGTCCAACAACCGGCCTTGAATCTGTGGTCGTAAAATCCACTCTGATAAATGGCTTGTGGTGAGGCCATGCTTGTTAGCTGCATGAGTTGTAGCTGTCACTAGCTCGGTATCTGCTGGTATGCCACATAGTGACGCTCTCTCTCACACACACACACACACACACACACACACAGTATGAGCTATGAGGCTGAGTTATGCCTTTCACCAATGCCAACCTCTGCATACCCAGATCTCACTGCCGCCTTAATGAGACCTGTCGTCTCTGGGCCACGGAATTACTGCTCCAGGCTTGAACCCACACACACATACTCTTTTGCGCTCACTCACACTCATACATACACACACATTCCTGCAAAATTACACGTACAGTTCACACTCACATCCATGAATGCCCAAAGAATCACTGTCTAACCCAATTTTCTCCAATTTAGCTAACACACCAAGACCTCATGCACGCGCAAAATCTTGACTAATCTCCCTCATTGTGTGTATTCAGACAACACGCACATTCATAATCTCACCCAGGTGGTTCTGCCAATTTCTCTCACACATACTTTGCATGTGCAGACCCCATATACACAGATGAAGAGTATCCCCAGGAGCTGATTGTATGTGTTGTTTTCTCTTAGTCATTCTTGTTTGCTGCGTCTTTTCATCTTATTCCTTGCCCTCAAATGTTTGGCTTTCTTTCTCCTTTTTGTTACCTCTACAGAGAATACCCATGTCCATCTTGTTAGCGTTGAAAACTATAGCCGAACACTGTTCTTTTGCAGGCTATTAGGAACTCTACCCTCCATGAAAAGAGAGAAATGACTGCCAAAAGTAGCATCACTGCTAAAAGAATCTCCCACACTGACACTTCCATATCCTGTCTGCCTTTCAGGTTTCTCCCAGCCTGGTGGGATGGGCATCAATCTGGAGGTGGGGACTGCACCCCTCTCAGCAGAGAAGATTCCAAGTGTAGCTGAACCCCAGCATCCCACACCCCCAGTGGGGTCAGACGCCCCTAAAGAGCACAGCCCCATGCTGCCTGAACCCCAGGCTCCTCGCAGCCCTCTGGATCTGTCAACAGGTAAAACGCACACAGATTAACGTTTAACATGGCACAGAAATGTGTATCTAATTACAGAAGAAAACTTTGGCAGCGTTAACCTGCTCTTCTTCAACAGGGTTGTGTTTGATAATGAGAATTTAGGCAACAGTCTACTGTAGCAACTGGAGTCTTGCTCAAGGAGAGCTAGGAATAGGTGATGGAGAGAGAGAGTGTTACTCTTTAACACTGGTCCAAACAAACTTAAATGCTATTTTAGGTTTATGGACAGACAGCTGGAGTTGCACTCTAAAGTAGTGCTATCACTACTGAAAACACTGCTGTGCTTGGTGCACTTGGTGGAGTATGATGTCATGATTTGTCTCATGTTGCTTTAAAGCCTCATATGCCTATGAGTGTTTACTGCTAATTGTTGTTATTTAAACTACTGTAATATGAGCCATTTCTATAGCAATGTTTGCACTTTACAGTTTGTTAATCATTCCGTTCCCCCCTGCATTCTCACAGCAGGAATGATTTAGAAATGATTGCTGTATAGTGTAATGTATCATATATATGACCCTGCCCTGTGCTGCACTGCCTGCTTTGTTCCACAGAGGGGTGCAGTATACAGAGCAGCTGTCTGTCTTTGTTTTTCTATAGCTTCCTTCTCACACACATTGCAGCTCCAATGTGATTAAGTCATCCATCTCAAGGTAGATGCACATCTGATGCTGACATGTATAGGGGTGCCTTGGCTTCTAGTCATACACTGTATGTGTTTACTCTGTGTGTGTGTGTGTGTGTGTGCGTGTGTGAATCTGTGTGTGATCCCTATCCTAGGAGTGAAAACCGTGTCTGGGTTTGCTCACTGTCCACCCTCAGCCCCTCCCCCACCGCTGCCCCCCCCCCATAGGGCTGATCTCCAGTTTAATGCACATCGGATCCTAGAGAGCATGGAGTTGTGGTTGTCACACCATGCTGCGACTTGTGTCAGCTAATAGAGCCATGCTAACATCCCATGTGGCCAGTGGAACGATGCACAAGGCATCACAGCAGCTGAGCCCCCATGGTGCACTGTTACACAGCAGGTGGCAGAACCCCCTGTGCGTCTGTACTGAAAAAGGGCAGGGGCATAAATATGATGATATATAATATTAGAGAGGTTATGCATTTATCTGCCAAATACACAGCCATTAGAGTTTGCTTGGCACCAAGTAACCATGAGCTGTGCAAAGATTTTGAAAAGTAACAGCTTATCTTCTAAGACCCCAAAACTGAAGGTTCAGATAACCAGCGGATACTCATGAGTATAAATCGCAGTGTTTGGAGTCTGTAGGCACCTCTTGATTCGTTTTGATTCAGATTCAAAGAGCCACGATACAATTATAAAACGATTAGCGATGTATCTCGACGTATCAACATGTTTGACTTCTAAAATCTATCGAGTCTAATGTGTTATTAACGTATGTCATGTACTGTTTTATAATGTTTTTCTGATTAATGTTCTTGTATGTACAGCTGTCTTGAAGTATTTAGAAAAGCGCTTTTGTAGAATAAAATGTTTATGTGATTTATTATTATTGTTATATAAGATTTATTTCTCACCATGTGACTACTTGCCACTTTTAAGACAGTGTATTTGTAATGATCAGCTGGAAGGTTACATATTTCTCAGCATTGCAAAGAACCAACAAGATAATAAACAAAAGTGTACCTGTAGCAGCACCATTGTAGTGAATGAACAGTGCAAAGACTTCAGCATGTTCTTAATCACTTGATAGTTGCTAACTATTAGCCTAGCTTAGAATGGCTAACAGTAGTTTTAAATTTCCAATTATTGACTTTTCTGCATCGAGACATAATTCTTCAAGCATGAATCGTGATGCTTCTAAAAATCGACCACCACTAGTAAATCGTGGTGGTAAATGAAAACCCTGATCACATGGGCTGCTGCTCATCTTCAGCTATGTCTTCCTAAAGGAAACATGATGCATTGAGAGTTCTAAAATAAAGCCGGTATTCAAATAATGACCATGTCTCAATTAATACTTGCTGGTACAAACAAATAAAGGGGGCAAAGGGCCATAAACCATGGTAGTACGATCGATGGTTGATCCTTGTTGATCTTACATGAACAGCAGTCCGGTTTGTTTGATTCCCACTGCTGCTAAAATATTAACTACCGGAGACCAAATACACAACAAGAATGTCTGAGTCATTCCAACTGAGCAGTGCTTGAGTTTAACTGCAACTAGCAGAGCCACAGCTTGACTCACTGCAGCAGATGGAGATTCATTCACAAACTTTTAAATCAATTTGCACCAGGCAACGAAGGCATAGTCAATCTTGCTTGTTAACCCTTCTGGGGAATTTATTGTAAGAATGTGTGTGTGTGTGTGTGTGTGTGTGTGTGTGAGTGAACAATCTCTCCACTGCTACGTGGGTCAACTACTAGTCAAACTACATGGTGACTCAACAGTGCGGCAACCTTTGTTTTCCCAGAAACAGCTGTAATACCACTATCACTCGACAACAGACTCCATACACAAAAATAGTAATTTTACCTCACGTATCAATGTAACATCATAATTTCATTCAAAGTGAACAGAAACTAAATAAAACAGTCTTTCTTAGTCTTCCACTGTTCCAACAATCACAAACTCTGGTTTGGTCTGAATAAATCCTTAATTCACCAACACAGAAGAACAGCAGTTTCAGTCGCTCTACCCAGTTGCACACAGGGTATGTAAACAAATGTGTGCCCTCATGTGCATGCATATTACAAACCAAATGGAGACCAATTCATAAAAACACTGCTCATTAACACCACTAGTGGTCACAAACTCCTCAGGGTACCCTTTAAAGCTACTGTAATCTGCAAAAAATTTGACCGTTTACTGCATATGCATTTAAGTATCTAGATAATGCTGTCATTTACAGCAATGTAGAACAGTTACACAACAGTAACTAGTTCCTAAATCCTCAACAGTACACATATCAAAATGGGTAAGAATCACACTGCTAAACTATAACTCTGTAAATTTCTTACTGTTCAATACCTTTGTCAGATATACATCTGACTCTAGAATCACCATGTAAGAGGAGTGTGAGTAAGAAAAAAAAATAGAAAATTCCTAAGAGTGTGCCTGACTCTGACCCATATATTAATAACATGTCATACTCTCTAGCACGCTAACTAGCTAGCGCTAGCATATTAATGCCTTGTCATTCTCTTTAGCTAGCTAGCTAGCGTTAGCTTATTAATACCAGAGCCCGTCTAACGGAGGAGGCCTGGCCACTTCCATATTAAGGTCCCATTGTTACCGAATTTTGGTTGCAGGTTTCCCCAGAGTTCCACTTGGGCGGCGATCGCCCATGAGGTGCAGAATGAATGGAGCAGATGGAGCTAGACGGCGTAAATGTGTCTCTTTACCTTGGATTGTCGTTGAGAATCTCGATTTGATTGTAGTTTGTTGGCAAGTTTGCAACATGGGGTTAGTGGCGAAAGTTGAATGAACGAGCACGATTACGTATTGTCCTTGTTGATTTCTTAGAGTTGAGTTGGGTTGGTTGCCCATAACACTAGCATTCGCTAATGAAGCGGCTGATTGGTTAGTGGAAGACTGGATTACGACCAGAGACCCGCTTGATGGCATCATGGCATCCGAAGAGTTCTTTTTTTTTTAACACAGCAACTTTTTTTTGTGGGTTGGCTGGCACTTTTCTGCGCATCGTTATGTCTGTGTGTGGATGCCTCGAGAGAATAGGAAGTGCAGGAGCGCGCGAAGCACAAATGACTCGAGGCTTGCTGGGTAAAGGCAGTATCTTGGCGTACGATGTGGTATAACGTCATGGTATTTTAAATTGACTTTTTAAAGCAAATAAGTGACTCTAAAAAATCTAAACACCCGGCAAGGTGTAATTTCTGTGCGATCCCGCTTTCGAATGCCAACATTCAAATTATAGGGGGAAAAAATTATTCCTGAGAAAAAGTGGATTTTTGAGCGGGGTATAGCTCCAATAGAGCCCATTCATTTCTGCACTTCATGTGTGAGCGCCCTCACATGGACCAGGGAGTGGAACTGAACGTTCAGGAAGCCGGAAGGTGTCCGGAGGTGAAGTTCTCTCCTTATTAGACATTCTCTGCTTAATATCGTTAAATACTCTACTGTAGCTAGCCTATGTGTGTGCGTGGTATGTGTATGTTGAGAGGGCAGGCCTTTGGTTGTCGCTGGGCCAACCAGGGGGACGGCCACAGCAGCTGCGTGGGCATCTCTCCTCTGTCTGTCACTCCTGAGAGAGACAGAAATCTCAAAATGGAAAACCCCTCGGGAACCAGTTGCCAGGAACGACCGAAATGAAAAAAAAGACCGGTGAGGCATCGTCATCCCCCCTGTCGACCAGTAGGACTGGGCCGAGTACGGGATTGGAGTAGATTTGGGGGGCCGTCGAGGAGCGGTGTTGCTGGCGCAGCTGTGCCGTTTCCACAGCTTCAGCAGTGGTACACTGCGACCCCACGAAATTACCTACGTTCTATCTATAAACTTATTTCTGTACAGTGACATTGTCGGCCTTGGAGAGCAGTTTACAAATTTATTTTTCTGACAAATTTTTCCCTCTCCACTCCATTAAATGAAACGCCAGTTATGTGCAGGTTGACATTCTGACCGAATACACATCCATTCATTTTTTGGCCCGGTTTTTGTCCGATTTATCGGCCAAACCGCTTTGGGCGAAACGCTTAGAAAAGTCATACACTAAATGTGCCAGCCGCACATTTTGATACCTTTTTGTGTATCAAAGCTGCGGGAGGAGTAGCGCGCCGAAATACGTACGGAAGAATGCATTTATTAAGTTTAAGTATGAGGAATAATAGTAGTGTACTTTGCAGGCACACTAACAATCTTTTTATACTTACATACTAGACTGCACACAGGAAAAAGGTGAGGCAGGGTGGGATACCATATAGTAAGGGGATGGTACTTCAGCCTGTCATGCTATAAGTGGAGTCAGTATGTTGGGGGCAAGCAGAACAACGGTTTGACAAGTACCTGGAGGTATGTGGGTTTGCATCCTTGAGCATCCTTGGATATACCAGCAGGTCAAGGTAATTTATGACCCATTCCTGGGTCATAAAGTTCCCCAGCAGCTATTTTAGGTACAAGTGTTTACATGGTGGACGATAGAGCACTGCTTTTAAGTACAATTTAGATTTGAATATCACTCTTTCAGCTGTTTTCCCCATTTTGTTCTTGCCAGTTGTTAATAGCATTTTTGCAGTTTGTTGAATTTGAAGGAAAATTGTTATTCAGACTTTATTTCTTTATTCAGATATATTCAATTTTGGAATTAAAATTAAATTAGTTTTGCTAAATAATTATTACAGTTAATTAACTGCTAACTTGATTAAAACACCCCACATACAGTCCATAGCTTTATTCCAGCACATTTGATCACAGTGTCACAAGAGAAGAGATGGATATAAGCCACATTGCATGCTGCTCTTTTATAATTGTACTTACCTTTGAAACTATAGAATAACTACGGTATTTGCACATACAGTGAGATGGCTGTCCTTTGATGTTCCCCCAGTATAATGAGGTTGCACGATGCAACATTTAAGTCATTCTGATCCATTTGGCTGATGTCTTTTTCTGCCTCTCCCAATTACTGCACATACAGTATAGAGAGCAGAGTTCTGTCATGGGTGTGTTAATATGAAATATGGCACTCCAGAGAGCAACTGTACTGTATGGGGCCTGACAGCTGCTCCACTTTAGCTATTCTTCTGTACACGTGTATAACTGGAACTGGAAACAAACTGGGCCAAAGTAGAAGAACAACCCTTTCTCAGTGGGCGATGTCCCCTCTACTCTCGTTACCTCTCGTCTACTTGAGCTTCGTCCTAAGACAATGCGGTTTTAGTTACAGCTATAATTGACCTTGTTTCTATCCAGAGACCATTAAGAAGTCTTTTTGTTTTTGTATGTCTGTCTCTGTGTCCATGTACGTGTACAGATAGAGCACTGTATATCTACTACGTGACCTTATTTGCATCTGCACACAAACACACAACGACACACCTGACTCTTGATTTCTGTTGTGATTTCAAACAGAGAAGTGTGCAAATCTGTACTAGGCCCTGAGACTGCAGAGAGTCAGCCACCCAAAAGTACCTCTTCTCTTTATCATTTAATTCAGTACTCTTCGGCATGTTTGTGTGCGTATGTGTTTAATTCTTATTCCTCAAAGCACTCACTCACTCACTCTATCAGCATTGAGACAAAACAATTTTTCAGACTTGAAATCCAGCTTGGGGTGAATTTTTAGTTGGTTATATTTTAAGAACGACAAAACACACATATTTGCCTGTTTGATGAAAGACTGACAGATTAATGATGTCATACAGTTCATATCTAAAAACCGGTGTAGTGATTAAGGCTCGGCTTTCTGTAAAACATGCACCCCCCTCTCCCATGCTTCTATGCTTTGTCTCAACCAATTGTCATCTTCTCAGCCTTCTCACCATCTCAGCTAATGAAAAATAGCTATAATTCCTTCTATAATTTAAATTTTTTTTGTGCTATTGGTATTTTGTGTTATGATCTCCTTTGTTATATTGTTTTCAGACCAAGAGTTTTGGCCTCTTTGTCTTACATTCTGAAGTTTCTGTTATTTCCTGTTTGAGTTAGACTAAGGGAACCAATTCATATACCCATATCCATCTCCCCCAACTTTAAATTCTCCCCTCTTCACCCACAACAAGGTGCCTTAGGCGATGGCTGGCCACACCAGGCTGGCTGCCTACCGACAGACCTTCCTTTCACCCCCAGTGTGTCCACGGTGATAAGTCGCCATACCAGCCATCTTGCAGTCAGCCCTGATGACGCACCTGACAGTTGGCCTAGCCGGGAGAGCACTGCCTACGCTGGAGGCGACGAAAGGGAAGGTGATGGATCGGACCGAAAACAGAAGAAAAAGAAGAAAAGGCGACAGAAAGATGAGGGATCTTATGAACACCTCGAGAGCAGGGGTCAACCTGAGTTGCAAGCACAGGGAGAAAACACTCCTATAACAGAGGAATTCTACCACAGGATTGGCCCAAGGCGGGATAGAGGAGAGGGTGGCTGGGAGGAGCAGCTTGGGAAGAGTGGAGGCCGAGGGAAGAGGGGTAAAAGCAGGAAGAAGATTCCAGAGGAATGGGGAGTGACGGCAGAACCATTTGTCCCTGCGTCTGCATCGACCTCTCAAATTCCAGAGGATGTGATGATGGATCTAGGGAGTTCTGTTCCGGCAAATTTGGAGGCATCCTTTGCAGACATGGACACCAGTCAGAGCCCCTGGAAAAAGGAGGTATTCCCAGAAGAAGGCCTGGTTCCATCCCCCTTGTCCCAGGACCTATTCTCTCCAACAGGTACTTCTATCAACCCACTGGTCCTGAACAGCGAGCTGAAAGCCACAGCTGCTCCATTCACCATGCCCTCCACCACCAACAGTACAACACTTGCATCCTTCCCCATGGCTTCTCGCCCTTGTGATCCATTTGACCTCCTGATCGATACAGAAAATGCCAGTTTGGGTAACAGAAGCCAGGCTTTTTCGCCCCCTTTCTCTCCAGAGAATGAAGCAACTGGTGGTGACATGGTTGACAGTGGGATGTTTGACATCACCAGTTCCCTCCAAGAGTCTTGTGTGCAAGGCATGCCAGAGGCAGACACCTCAGCTTTCAGCCCTGCCTCCCAACCAAGCCCAGGCCTTTCCCCTAAAGGTGAGGTGTTAGCCTCAGCCCCACCTCTCTCACCCTCAGATGCTTCATGGCTTCTGAACGACTCCCACATGAGCAGCAACAGCGAGCCATTCGACTTCAGTGACATTAGCACTTCAGGTCATCCTTTACCCTTAGGGCTCTCCTTCGACACCCCTAGCCCAGCCCCTCTCCGCTCCCCCAAAACCACAGCGCAGGAATTCCAAAACAAAGGGCACAAAGATGCCAAATCGGCCCAAAAACAATCCAAGAAGACTCGTTCTTCATCTTCGTCCTCCTCTGTAAAGAGTCCCACATCCCCAGGAGAAAAGAAGTTCCCTCCACAAGAATCCCCAGTCATTAGCCCCTCTTCCCCTCCATCGGACACCCCGCTGGCAGTTCCAGGTTCTGGTCTTAACCCTACAGCTAAGCCCTTCTTTCCAAGCTTTGCTGATTCCATGGAAGAACCAGCTGTGAACCCTGCAGTTATTCCCATCACCGAAGGTTGGTTGCAGGTAGCCCGGGACAAAAAAGTTAGAGTAACTAAAAAAATAACAAATGGTTTATTGTCATGCATGATGTTTTCATCAAGCTTGAGTTGATATTGAACTAGATTTCAAATAATGTTTTGGGCAGAATTGATTGCTTGGATGTCTTCTACTCATTAAGGTTTAGATGGATAATTAAACCCATTTGTATTTCCCCGTGCATGAACACATTCATCTAAAAACTGTGCTGGGGCTTTCTGGCTTGTCCAGTTTGGGCTGTTTGTGAGTGACTAATGCATGGGCTCAAGTGTTGACCAACTGATGCTTGACTTTAATCTGTGAGTACCTTAATTCCCAATGATGCATTGCTGGGATGTTCTCATAATTAACATTGTTGCTGTTGAAGGGTGTGCTACTACTAATCAATCACGGAGTCTTTCTCCTTTAGCGATACCACTAGACATCTTCACCAAATCAAAACCAACCTCCTTTCTTCTCTCCTGTCCAGGTGTGTGTGTTAACACTATAATCATGGTCTGTTCCCTTTGCATCCAGGGGTGAGGTGTCACTCTGTCTTCTCTTTCCTGTGTCCAATTAACTCTTTTTTTTCTCACTAGCTGCCTGTTTCTTTACAACTTCTACTAGAAAAGAATGTTGAAGGATCAGGCTTTGTTGGTGTAATGTTAACTCACCTATGTTGTTGTGCATCAACAGTTCACATCCTGGTGTGTCTCCTGAGAGTATGACTTTTACAAAATATCAAATGGTAATTTTTGTTTTTGTTGATTTTACTTTCCATGTTCTGTGATGATTGCTGCCTTGGCTGATTCTCCACCATAGGTGAGTCCTATTTTAATTCCTTTTCTGGCTTTGTTGTGTTTTTAATGCATCATTATTGAGACTAGTCACTGGAACGATTACAGAATTATTGACGTAAGATGCAGACAGTTGTGTGCTCACTGACTACTCAGCAATAAGGAGCAATAAGGTGGCTGCTGCTTAGAAAAGAAATAATGTTCTGATGGAGTATATATACTCAAAACAAGAGCTTTGTTTGCATTAAACATTATATTTAAACAAATATGTGCTACCTCTTTTATTTATGAATTTGATGGTTAGGAAAATTAAGGCACAGCAAAAGTCTAGAGAGTGTCTTCTTGGTGACATGAGGGTGACATCTCTACTATTTGCAGATGATGTTGTTGATGTTGCAGGGTAGCTCAGCTCACCCTTGGAGGAAGAATTAGGACCCTGGACCCCCAATATGAGCTTGGGAAAGTTTTTTTTTATGTCATGTCCATTTTGGAGAATACCCATGACAAATTCAGAGCACACTGGATTTAAAATCTCATCTGGCTTAGGAATTCCATGGGATCACCCAGGAGGAGCTGGAAATCTTCCTTGGAAGAAGGCTGTCTCTTTGCTACCTTCTTTAGCTACTGTGCCTACTGGGCTACCAGGGCTACCATGCTGCCACCGTAACTGCACACAGATGAAGGCTGTTGTTAATCTTATTTTTAATGGAGAATAGTTTTGTAGCACTGTGACTCATTAAGAAGGGGTTTCAGCAGAGCCCGGAATAATAATGTTTATGCCAACCAGAGATGAGCAGTTAAAAATAGAACAGTTTGACTTTTGTGCATGTACTGATGTAAATCAGAGTTATGAGATTCAAGAGGGAGTCAAAAGGGAGCCATTGATAGACGTCATGTTCAGCTCTAATGTTCGTTTTAATATAGAGTAAATTTGTAGTAGTGTTACATGTTTAAGAGAAGCCAGAGATGGGAAGAAATAGAAGGTAGACACTTGTGTAAGTGGATCTCACCTGTATATGGTTGAGTATGTTGATGCATGGATGTGGCTATTTATGTGTGTGGGTATTTCCATCCTTTTCCAGAGGAGCTGAAGTGTTTTGTGTGTGTTGCTATGATTTATGGAGATGCAAGGTTCTAGGATTCATTTCCTTGTCCTTCTTTTCAACACTTCCTGTCTCTGCCTCCCATTGGAGGTTGTAATGAGGACTGAGCCAGTCTTCAGCTCTCCACAGGAACGGAGTGTTGAACCTGGCTATTAAGTGGCTTTGATCAATGCCTCCCCTTTTGTACATCTGTATATTTTCTATCACTGTATATTTCTGTGCGTGTTCCTACCAAACAGGCACGAACAGATTTGACTTACAGTACATGATGTGCACACACTGAGTTTTGTAAATTTTCTTGAGTGAGTGCTTGTATTAATGTGTGTGCATATGAGAGGGGAAGAACAAGACAAAGTGCTGAATGCAGCTGGCTCTGTCTTCCCTCTGTGTAATGAGAGCTTTTGTCAATGTCCAGGGGTGGGTCTTTGTCACTAAGAGTGGTATTTAAGCCTTGTGCAAAAGATAAAAAGGCATGTGGAGCACAATAAAGAGTAAGAAGAGGCTTTGGAGGGTTACAGGCAGGGGAGTACAGTAAGGAAGAGGGAGGTAGACTTCCAGAGAAAAGAAATGCAAAAAGCCTAATAAATTTGAGAAAGAAACAAAGACAGCCTTCAAATACTTTTGAGAAAATTAGAGGGATGAACAAGAGGGATGCAGGGGTAGATAAAGGGAGAGGATGCTGTGGAGGACTTGTGGGGCTGATGAAGGAATATGAAGAGGTGAATAGAATATTGAGAGGGAACGGATAAGCCCTTCTTTACGAAATAGATACAGGAGTAACAATGAGGGGGAGAAGCCTAGATGCAGATGGAGAACAATGTAAACCTCAGGAAGGGTGATGTTTAAAAGATTGAGGGAGGTTCAGAGCAGTATTACGCCTTGGTAGAAAAACTGACAGCATGAGGCGTAGACAAATGTGGACATGGGTGAGGGAATATACCACCACTGGACTGTGTGCTGGTATAGACCCTCTGTGTCCACACCTGTTTAACAAAAGAGAAAGCCAGAACAGGTTGTGACATTTTCAAATTTTTTAAATTTGGAACTATCAGGGACTAGTGCAGCTTTGAAGTGGATTTTTGTGCTTAGTTTTCAGTCTACCACAGTACCTGTCAGGCTATTAATAGACAACCTAGAATACAGTGTATTAAGTGTATCCTTCCATCTGCTCGACTCGACAACCTTCTACACATCTTTGTGCTATATATAAGTATGCCTACATCACCCACACATGAACACAGAAACGTACATATAAATAATGCAGTGCTGAGTATGGACTATAATTCCAAGATAATATGTTGGTTAAAATTACACAACATTGGCTGCGCTTATTCATATTTTATCATTTTGTATTCATTTTTATTTTGCAGTTGATCAGAGGACTGTGTCATGTGAAAAGGTCACTCATTGTGTTAATAATCAGCAGACTCTGCTATTCCCTATCAGCTTTGCAGTGCGTTTTAGCATCTTTGAGCTCATTGTTTGATTGATACTTGTTGTTTTGGTTCAGTCATACTCATTAACCATGTTTCCAGGAGGCAGCTGTTTTCAGTGAAAAAGCTGTGAAATCCTACCATAGAGTATGCTTTAAGGTGTAGCTGTTTCTGCAAAGTGATTTTGTGTGTCATAGATTGGGTGATTCTTTTCCCTACCTCAGAGTTTGAAGGCAAAGAGGATATCACCTCTTCAATTCTTGGCTGGGCTTGTTGTATTCTTTATAGTTTCAAACGATAGCTCAGAGTAAAAAACAGCTAACGTGGTTCCTCAAATGTGTTGTATTACCAAAGTATTTCTAGTTAGTTTAGTAGTTTTGTGAGGCGGATTTTACTGTGTGTGTCTCGTCCAGTTCTTGCTGCTAATCTCTATAACTTAACAACTTTATTGTCCAGCCGAAATCAACGTTAGTATGCTATAATTTTGTGTAGGCGTTTAATTTGAAATCAATGGTAGGGTTGGAGTGTTTTTTGTTTTGTTTTTTCACGAGGCCAAATTAAATTTCCAAACCCCGGATTTTGTTCTGTGGGTGCATCAATGCTGAATCCATCAGCGTCACAGTAGATCTTACAGTCGGGACAATTTTACCTCTATACATCGCCTGTCACCACCCGCAAGTTAGCAAATAAGTGGTTGGTAAGTTGGTGGAGACCAAAAAAGAGCTAAAATGACTGTAAATATTGGACTTACTCCAACAGGACTACCAAATGGGTGCTTATAATGCTTTGTGTTATCTTGATGTGTAAATAGCCACAAATACCACAATATAAGGTGACAATATGTCATTGTTCTGTTAACAGCTTGTTCGGCTGCCCCCAAATGGTTAAAACACAAAAATCTTCTTGCCTTGGGTTTTGTTCTTGGTTCTCTTTATGCTTATTTCTACTCTACAATTAATTCAAATAAAAAGTAGATGTTTGCACCAAAATAACCAGGAGGGACATTCAGGCGATCACATCACAAGAGCACCTGTTCTCCTCCAGCACCAACACTAGTCCATCTCTCTCAGACAGAGATAAAAACACAGGTGCCAGCAGTATAAAGACCACAAATACACACCTACAGAGACACACATACTGTAAACTGAGTCATCAAGCTATTTGAGGACAAATCCTCAAAAGGCAGGCGTGCGTGAATATACTGTATCAGCAGTCTATTTTTACCACATAGTGTTTTTCACTGTTGTTTAGGCTTTTTGCATTGGGGCACAGGCTGTTAGATGGTAGCCCAGAAGGGACATTTGTACAGTATGGCCCATCCTTGAACAGAAGTGAGCTAATGCCTTTTGACGGCTTCAGGGGAAGTGTGGGGATTTCGCCTTGTTGGCGCCACTGTACGAGCCAACAAGCTAACTAAAAGCTAACTAGCGTGAGTCATTCTGGGTTGTTTTTCAGAAGATGGACCATGCCTCAGCAACAGATTCTCAACCCATAGAGAGATGACTGCAGGCCAGCAGTGTGGGCTGTGCTTAAGATGTAATAGATTTTGATGTTGACATTTAAAAAAAGGCAGTTGTATCAGCTCAGTGAGTGGAAATCTGGGTGAGTTATTGGGCAGTACACGTCCTTCATTAAGGACACACAATGTGCTGTATTTTTTTAACT